GACTTGAATGGTGGTGTGTTTCTTTGCAGGAGCCTTTTCATCTGGAACTGTTACGCTCAAGTCCATTCAAATTTTTCAAACGCATGAATGGTTAGATGCCAAACCAACAGTTTATTTTCATTGTCAAGGGGAGAACAAGACATCTTTACCAGATGTGAAGGAAGCACACCACATATATACCTTCAAGGGAGAAGAATCCTGGTAGGCTTGTACCAGGTTTCTAGTTCAATTTGAAACCCTGTGATTAGACCAAATGTTATTTGACTTGCAAAAATCTCTTGAAAACTGTACTGCATAACATAAGTGCAGATTTTACGAATGGATGTTGTGGATATCTGCCATGATTGCATTCTGGTGGTTCTCCAATCCTTTGTATGGTTAAGTGGACTACTTGAAAAATACCCTAGGTCTAGATGCTATTCCTTTGATAATTTCACATGACAAAGCTACTAGTTTAAATATAACCAGATTTACGCAGAATCAACTTTCTAAGGCCAACACTTTGGGAAAAGATCATGTGTCTTCACAGGGCATTCCATTCTTATCTCATTTTATCATGTCAAGTTTATTGATGTCCATCTGTAGTATCTGTAGCAAGAAAAGTAGGGAGCTGAAACAAGGCAGCCTTTGCTGGGTAGTCTTATCCCTAAGTGAATTAGTAGGTTGCTGTTAGCCTTCTATTAGTTTTGCTGTTATCATTTGAAGTTGTATTTTATGAAATATAAACTTGTATTGAAGCTCCCAAATCCGAGATCAATGCACTGCAAACTGATTGGATTTTGCAAAACCAGTGAGGCAAGAATATCAACCTTTAATTAAAAAGATTTTCCTAGTATAGTTACAGAAAATCTTTTTCCCATAATCCAAATAGCTTGTAAAAGATATATGTTTCCCAGTCAATTACTATTCCATATTTTGGAGATTCTTGTTATGTGTCTATGTGAGAAATGGGAATTTAGTTTAAACTTTAGGAGAATCATTACCACCTGCAAAGAGGATCTCTGCAGGATGATCTCTGCCCAAGGAAGCTTTCTTTCTTTTTGCAAATAATGGTGTTTTGGAAGGTTTCAACTCATTAAAAGCAATTAACTCATTGCCAATGGTCATCCTCCACTTTAGTCCATCAGCAGGTTCTGGTGCAGGAGCAAACACTTCATTTTTCAGGGAAATCAATCATGATTTTGAGGGTTGCTTGATCGAGGCATCCAGGTCCCTCCAATGTCTGAGGTGCTTTCACAGGTAGGAAGTAGAGATCATCCTTGTTCCTTCCACCTTGATTGGAGATGGTAGTTTCAATGGAGTTCAGATGCCTCTTCTTCTCTGGGGTCTTAGGTTGAATTGCTCATTGGTGCTTGTCTGGAGAAGTAGTTGAGTTACTCTTTGAATTTTAACTGTATGGTAGAAGGAAACTGCCAAATGATAATTAGCTAGATGAAAAATGGCTATTTATCCTTTTGGGCACTATATTAAGGGATGAGGTGGGAACATCCCATTCAGATTGGAATGGGATGCTTTGATACAGTTCATGGTTCGTGGGGATGCTTTGATACAGTTCAAATGAAGCAAATGGGTGTGGGTGTGTCTTAGTTAAAATGTCTTTTAACACTAGGATAGACCATGGGTTGGAAAATGAAGCAAATGGGTGTGGGTGTGTCTTAGTTAAAATGTCTTTAAATACTAGGATAGACCATGGGTTGGACCGGTTTCAACTAGGTTTTTGTTGAATGTTTGATGGGTCCATTCTGAACCATTACTTTTAAGAGAATTGTAACTTTTGATAGGACATGAACCAACCGTCCTATTAATTAAATTCTTAGCATGAAAATTTTATAGTAAAAATAGAGGGCGTGAAAATCAAACCCAAGTACACTAAACTGAGCTTGATCTGCAATAAAGAGAGAATTGATTTCCACAACTAACCATAATATTTAACCATATAATAGTTCCTTTTGATGAGTGCAAACTGCATAGTAGGAGTTTCTATCCAATATATATAGAATTGACAATGAACCCAAATGATTCTTATAATTAGTATTAATTCCTATTTTTCCTTCTAGTTCATTGCTGCATTTTTTTCTTTATATTGTCATATTCTACAAACTTTTAATTGCAACCATATTACAATTGTAATGCAAATATGTTTGACCAATCCAATCTTGGCCTCACCATGTGAGTTTGGTTGCATTTATCCAGTTTCTAAAACACTGCTCAAGCATGTGAACAAGAGAAGAAAACCCTTAATTAAAAATCACTATTTCCATTGCCTTTAATTTTCCATCTTCCTTCCTCTTGTAGTGGGTTTTGGTTGATCAATTAGGTTTTAGTGCTTGGTTTTTCCTTAAAATGAGCACCATTTAAGTGAAGAAAAATGACGTCCTTTTTATAGTTTTAAATTGTCGTTCTACACCATTTGCTTTTTGTCTGGTTCATGGGGATGCTGAATTAGCAGAAACTGTATCAAAGCATATCATCGACAAGGCCAGTTGTCTGAGCGATGGAGAGTACATGGTGCCGTCTAACATGTTTGCATTGAATGGTAGATAGAAAGAAGCAGATAACTGGAGAAGAATGATGAAAGAAGCAGGGATTAGTAAAGTTGCTGGTTGTAGTACTATAGAGATCAATGGTAGAATGTACAGATTTCTGGCCAGAGACAGAGAAGGTGGTTAAGCCTAGCTTGACGACTTCAGGACTTCAAGAATATTTGATTAGAAAAGCTGGGCTGTATGAGTTTGCTTGATAGTTGACGATCAGCAAGCAAATCTCAGCAATCAAAAATGTCAACCTGAGAGAAAGAATAAATACATTGCAAGAGAGTAAGAAAACAAGGCTGTGGAGCATCTCAAGCAAAGTTTATCTGTATTTGCAAGACTTAAGATGTGGACTGATGGACGATAATATGTGTTAGATTTGTAAAAATTGACACCCAAAGCTGTCTGTGATCATGGACAAGGTCAAGGACATACCAGCAGGTAATGAAACCATAGATATGGCGTTTATTGGTATATATTCTGATTGTCCAAGTGCAGAACAGGGACCAATTGCTTCACATACAAAACTGAAGCAGGGTAACCAAGAAAGGACTATCAATGTGTCAGAACCTCAAAAAGAAGCACTCTTGTTATCATCATCTTCAGTGTCGAAGTCTGCAGCATTAGTTGAGAGCTCTAGTTTGGTGGAATCACCGCAAACTGGTAATCTCACAGTTAGGATTGAGAAAGAGAAGGGAAGACGACGAAGGAAGAAAACTAGAAACTATGACAACAGTCTTAAATGCCCAAAATTTGAGCCCAAAATAATGGCAGATGGTGTTTTCTTCTATCGTTCCAGAGGAAAAAACTTGAATTAGGCTCAAATTGGGTTTAAAAGAAGAGGCAGCATGGTTTATTTCCAAAAATTTTAGGGGCGTTTAAGACTTTGTGACATGGTTTTCAAATCCATCTCCAAAGGGTAAAATTGGAAAGAGATGAAAAAAATGGCAATTTACCCAGGAAAGTGGGTGTTGCAAAAGAACATGGGAAAATAAGAAACTTCATTTACCTGGGTAAATCAAACAAAAAAGAACATGGATAAATGCACTTACCCAGTTAAATGTGTTTCCAAAAAAAGAACATGGCCTAAGGGTCTGTTTCATTCATAGATTAGATCAGACTTGAAATCTATTAATGATTCATTCCCCCTCCCTGTTTGGTTCAGATGGAAATCGGAATCAGAATTAAAATCAGTAAGAATGGATTCTCATTCCCAAAGGAGGGAGAGGAAATGATCATTCTCTCAAATGAAAAAATATCACTCCACCAGAAATGAGAATGAGATTCCAATTCTGTCCAACCAAACCAATGGTTGGAATCAGAATGGTTCCTATTCGAAACCCTTATTCCCACTAACCAAATGGACCCAAAATGCTGTATTTCTGTTTTCTTCTCACAAATTTGGATAATTTCATTAAAGGCTCGAGTAGGCTCACCTTACAACTCGGTCTAATCAATTTATTTTTTAACATGGGATCAGTCGTGTCAAAAATCCTATTTTACCAACCATTTTCTAAAGCCAATTGTTCTTGGGATTAACCGTATTTATCAATGCTACTTCGTTCAAAACCCCATAGAGCCCAGAATTGAGGACCCATAATATTTTGTAATAGAAAAAAAAAGAATTTAATTAATAATTATTCGATATTACGTTTATAACATATATGATACAAGTTTTAAGTGGAATGGGCTCAGTCTTATTTAGCAAAATGAGCCAAATTGCAAGCCTGAAATGGTGCCCAGGCTTGACTACAGTCGAACTAGTTCAGACTGCTCAGTTCATTTACCGCGCTCTGAAGGGCAGGCTTTGTTGGTCATTCTAGCATCATGCCACTTGTACAATTGGGATAGGACTTTGGTTATGGATCAATAGGGCCGGACCTAAAAGAAACGGCGTCAATGAACCGGATTTGGATTGACTTCATCCAAATCAAATCTAAATTGGTTGGATGGTCCAAAGTGTTGTATTGGGTTGGACAAGTCCACATTTTATGATCCAATATAATTAGCCGATTGAAATGGACAAACCAAAACCTATGAATCCACAAACCGGCTCAAAATTGATTGAAGGTAAATAACTCGGGACCCCAGTCTAGGTTTTTTCAACTGAACAAATTATCTCTCTGTCTCTCCGAAGGCTATTTCTCTTCGGCAGCATCTCTAACAAAGGCTTCTTGCGATTCAAAGCATGGTTTACATGAATCAGAGGTGGAATATCACAGCCCTTCACCGTCTCTTCTCTCCGGAGGAAGTTGTTGCTATAAAGAAGATTCCTATTGGCTTACATGAATCAGAGGACAGATTGATATGGAAATTTTCTAAGGATGGGGAATATTCTGTCAAAAGTGGCTATTATGTTGCAAAGTTATCCTCTCAAAGGCCATCTCATGCTGAATCCTCTAATAGAAATGATAAGTATCCTCAGATGCCGCCTGCAGAATGGAAGAAGGTTTGGAATTCTAAATCCCCCCCAAAAATTAAAATTTTTTTGTGGCGAGCTATCTCCAATGCTCTTGCAGTTCACCAGCTATTGGCCAAGAAAGGGATGAGGATTTCTGTTCTGTGCCCCCGCTGTGGAGAGGAGAGGAGGATTGAATCGGTTGCCCATGTACTACTCAAATGTCATTTTGCGAAGGCTGTTTGGTTTGCTAGCAACCTTGCAGTGCGTACAGAGGGGATGGATCACGACTCTTTCTCAGATTGTTTTGCTGAGTTGCTGGCCCAGCAGCATGAAATGCCAAATAACCAAGATTGATTACAGGCCTTTTCGGTTTTCTACTAGGAGATTTGGAAAGCTCGTAATGGGCTGATATTCAATGGTACAATCACCACCCCGAGTCAAGTAGCTGTGAAGAGTTGGAGTTTCATTTTAGAGCTCAGATCGACCTCTGTTAGTCGACTAGTTCCTCTAGACCCAGCTTCAAATATTGAACAGCAAAGAGGATGGTCCCCTCCCCCCCCCCCCCGGGGTGGATAAAGGTTAATGTAGATGCAAGCTTCACAGCTAGCAGCTGCCACTCTGGTATTGCTTGTATAATGAGGGATTCAGAGGGCAGCATTCTGACAGGTAGATTATCCAAGTACCTCGGTGCCTCGGTGAAGATGGCAGAAGCCTTGGTCTTACGGTTGGGCTGCATGGAGGCCTCAATGTTTGGACCAATAAAGGTGATTTTTGAAGCAGATTCGCTGGAGGTGATAAATGACATCCAATCGGCTATTAACTCAGCGGTTTCAACCTGTTTCTCTCCACTAAATGCTCTGGTGGATGACATTAAAATCTTTGTAACATCTTTTGAATCTATTAGTTTTCATCACATTCCGAGATCTTGTAACTCCTTGGCGGACACTCTAGCCAAGCGTGCTTTGCGAGAGTTGAGTTTAGACTCTTCCTCCCCTGATTTCCTTTTTAATGGTTTGAATAGAGGTAGGTTCTCTTTGATTACCCAAAAAAAAAAAAACGGAATTGCTTTGGCTATGGTTTCTGAGTCAAATGGTCCAACCATCCGGTCTGAATCTCGGTCACATGATTTTGGGGTCCAACACCAAACTGGAGCCATGACTGGTTTTTAGGTCAACTGGTCTGACTGTCCGGTCCGATCTGATTTTCAAAATCATGATTCAAAATATATCCATCATCAACAACCAGTTTCGAATAAGGGCTTCTCAGAAATCATTATTTTCTCTCTGGTTCTGCGATCAAACACCCAAGACACAAATCATTGGGTTGATCGGAATCGGAATCAGAATCAGAATGGTCTATATTACCATAGTCTGTTTGGTTCAGACAGGATTGGGAATGGAATTAGAATCAGTAGAAATGGGATTTCATTCCCAAGGGAGGAACAAGGAATGGTCATTCCCTCAAATGGGATTTCAATTTCGCCCAACTAAATAGTTGGTCCATTTCGATTCTAATTCTGGACTCCTATTCCCACAAACCAAACAGAGCCCTAGTATTTTATCATCAATGGTGAGTGGTCAGTGGTGCTGATTTGGAGTTGATTTTCTCTACTCGATTGATATTTGTGACTAAGGGTGACAATGGACCGGTTTTGGATTGGACCCCATCCATTCCAAAGTCAATTTGGACGGATTCAACGGACCAATAAAACATATTGGGTTGGATCAATTCGGTCTAAAATATTTATTATATTGGATTGAACCCGGTCCATCTATAACAAATTTATATTGGATAGGGTTGAATTAAGCCAATATCTGGTCCATTGATATAAGATAAGAATATATGTGTCAATGGACTGGGTTTGGGTTGAAATCAATCTAAATCGAAAATGAATTTGAATAGATCAGACGGTCTAGACATTGAATTGGATCGGTCCAAAATATTCATTGGATTGGATTGGACCTGGTCCATTTATAATGGATTCACATTGGACTGGATCGGGTTGGACCAAACCCAGTCCAATTGACACCCCTATCTGTGACCTGACACATCTCTTATCCGATTCATTATTTCCATGTTGAAAAGAAAAGGGAAAATTCCTTATTAGTACCCTGTACTTTGGCTCGAGTGACAATTTGGTCCCCGAACTTTAAAATGCGAGAATCCAGTACTAGAACTTTCAAAACACAACAATCTAATACATGTCGTTAATGGACCGTCAGTTATGTATATCATGTGACCTCATGTGCGATTTAAGACTTTTGAAAATATCAAAATTACCCTTGAAAATTAAACACATTGTTCATCATCTTCTTCCTCAAGAAGATGAAATAGAGCCCAAGCTCTCTATCACAAACACCAAAACCCTTCTTGCGTAGAATGGTTGACAATCCTTCGAATTCCACTGCCAACTGAGAACACCATCTTTATTTATGACGAATAAGGAAATGTGCTTCTAGAGAGCATTGTGATTGCCATTTAATGGTCTTGGATTTGTCGATACCAATGGTGTTCTGGAGAACAATAATAGTCACAAACAGACAAAGGAGGGCAACCTTACGATGGTGAAGAGCTCTATGGATCTGTTGAACAAGACGAGCCTCCAAGCAACGTTCAAGCATCTTTGTTTTTGCTTAGATTTTCTTTCTTCTACTTGGTGTCACTTGATCATATAAAAAATCCTAATTCTGAAACCCCAGATGGAGCTCAGGATTTGAAGATGAGAACTACAACCTTTCCTTCATGGGGAAGTTGGTAGATTCCCCTACGATCTATTCAAAAACATGAAAATCTGAAACTTGAAGGATTTATGGGTTGGCTTTACTAGGTCTTAGTCTTTCTGCATACGTGTTTTGGGTGTTTCTATCCCACTCTCACAAAAGGGGTGAAGGTCGATGGGTGGAGAAGAAAGATTATAGCTGCAAAGAATAAAAAATAAAAAACCACAAAGAAGGAAACCTTCGAAGGTCTCCCACAGATAAATGAGACCATCTTTGTTTATGTCAAAGAAGGCAATGTGCTTCTAGAGAGTAGTGTGATCACCATTAAAGGGAAACTTTTCTCCTAGAAATTGCT